CTGGTTACTATGGCAACAAATAGAATGAAAATATGGTAAATTTTACACATAAACTGGAATCAGTGATAACGCAAAAGGAACTGGAAATATATTTATGAAACTTGAAATATGGGTAGATGGCAGTCTGGAGATTATGCACGTTCTTTTCTTCCTATGTTGAAAATTCTGGTTGCTGTAACAACACATAGACTGAAAATATGGCAAATTTAACACATAAACTGGATCTAGTGATAATGCAAAAAGTACTGAAATATTTTTATGAAACTTGAAATATGGATAGATGGCAGTCTGGAGATTATACATGTCTTTTGCTTTCTTCCTATTTAAAAAAAAATGGTTGCCATGTCAACACATAGTCTTAAAACATGGCAAATATAACAATATTTGTGATAAGTCAAAAAGAGCTGAACATTTTTATGAAACTTAAATATGGATAGATGGTAGTATGGAAATTATACACATCATTTTAATCTTGACTATAGGGAGTATATTGAAAGCTGTCATACTTATCAAACGTCGGCAACCTCGTCAAGGTTTCTGATTCTAGTTTTTAAGCTTTTTCACTATAAATTCTTTATTTCGTAAGGTATTTATTTCAAACTTCAAATATAAGTTTCTGGTCATCAATCACGTTATATGTGACAAGGTTTACAACTCTTGCACAAAATTTATCAGAATTGCCTCCCTTGAACTTAATTTTCATGAAAAAAATGTTTTTGTTTTAATAACTTCTTTATTTCTTAATTGTAAGAGTTGAGATAATTCTTTAACAATTTTGCTTTTAAAAATGTTACATTTTGGTAACATGGATGTTTAAAAAATCTTTAGAGTGTCCTTCAGTCCGTCTGTCTGTCTGCTCATAAAAACTTTTTCCTGTGATCACTTTTAAAAAACATTTCCAACAAATTTACTTAAAATTGAGAAAAATTGAACCATTAGTGAATGGCCAATGGCCCTTCAGAATGTTGCTGGGGTTCTAACCGGTGGGGGACTTATGGATTGCTTGCAATACTATGATTATTGCTTTTTTATTAACATTTTGTGGATGAAAAACGTTTCCCTTATTTCTGTTACTTACACAAACAATTATATTGTAAACTTTATAAATGTTTCTTGTCTGAAGTTACTGAAGGTACAAGGCTCAAAGCTTACACTTTATTATATGATATCATCTTTAGGCTCTCTACCAAAGTTATTCAAATTATAGCTCTAAGGTCAAAATTTGCCCTGCTTAGGGGCAAAGGTTCTCCTTTAATGTATATAGTAAAAACTTTAAAAAAAAGTTCTTCTCGGAATCGTTAAAGGCTAGAGGTAAGATATTTAGCATGAAACATTGCCCATGTGGACATCTACAAAGATTGTTCAAAATATAGCCCGAGGGGTCAAAGTTTACCCCGCCTTAGCGGTTTTCCTTATGTGTATATAGTAAAAACTTAAATATCTTCTTTTTTGAAGGAACAAGACATACAGCTTAGATATTGGTAAATCATATCATTTTTAGGTCCTAAAGTTGTTCAAAGTTTGCCTCTAGTATTAAAATTTGCCCTGTCCGGGGTCATGGCTTTTCCTTTACATAAAAATCTTCTTCTCTGAATTGACAAAGGCTATAGGTTAGATATTTGGCATGAAACATTGTTTAGTGAACCTACCTCTACAAAGATTGTTCAAATTAAAGCACTGGGGTCAAAATGGCCCCGCCCGAGGGGGAAGTCATTAATTTTCATTTTGTACTTATAGTAAAAACCTGAAAATTCTTCTTAATGATGGTACAATACTTAGATATTGACTTTGATATAGACTTTTGATATTTGTATATAATATAATCTATAAATTCTCTACCACAGTTGTTCAAAATTTACACCTAGTGTCAAAATTGGCCCTTTCAAAAATAACAGTTATAAGTTATACATGTTGGTGGGTAGCTGGAATAAAGTATATTATCATATAAATGTAAACATTTTAACATTTAAGGCCCCTGTGACCTTGACCTTTGACCCTAAAATCAATAGGAGTCATCTACAAGTTATCAATATGTGAAATATGCTGAGTTTGTGATAAAAAGTTTTTAAGATAATGAGCCGATACCATTCAGCCATTTAAGGCCCCTGTGACCTTTACCTTTGACCAAGTGACCCCAAAATCATTTACGGTTATATACTAATATGACCAATCAGTATGTAAAATATGAAGACTTTGTGATATTTAGTTTTCAAGATAATCCACAGAAACCATTCTGACATTAAAGACCCTGTGACATTGACCTTTGACCTAGTGACCCAAGATCCTTTGACCTAGTGACCCCAAAATCATTAGGGTTTATCTACTAGTTATTAACAATCAGTATGTAAAATATGACGACTTTGTGGTAATTATTTTTTAGATAATCAGCTGAAACCGTTCTGAAATTTAAGGCCACTGTGATCTTGACCTTTGACCTAACGACCCCACAATCAATAGAAATTAACAACTAGCTATGATCAATTAGTATGTGAAGTATGAAGACTTTGTGATGAATAATGTTCAAGATAATCAGCGAAGACAATTCTGACATTTAAGGCCACTGTTACATTGACCTTTGGCCTAGTGACTCCAAAATCAAGAGAGTCATCTACTAGTTATGACCAATAAGAATGTGAAATTTGCAGAAATTGTGATAGAAAGTTTAATCAGCGGAAACCATGTGGTCTTCAGACGACACACCAACAGAAAGACAGACAGACAGACCGACATTACCAAAACAATATACCCCCTCTTCTTCGGAGGGGGCATAATTATAGCCCTAGAGTCGAAATTGGCCAGGGGAACTTTGTCCTTATATGTGACTTCCCGTAGCAACCAGTGACTGTCCATAGCAACCAGTCACTTTTTCACAGCCACCCGTAACTTATGAAGCAGCCAATGACCTACATAGCAAGCATTGACTTTCAATGGCAACTAGTGTCATTCCGTTGCAATTATTGATTTTCAATAGTAATCAGTGACCAATCTTATAACCATTTATTTTCCATAGCAACCATTGAATTCCATAGCAACCACTTACTTTCCATGGCAATAGTGACTTCCTTAGCAACCATAGACTTTCCATAGCAACCATAGACTTATATAGCACCCAATGACTTAATATATCAACAATCGACGTTCCATAGCAACCGTTTACTTTACATAGCAACAAGTGCCTTTCCAAAGCAACTACTAACATTCCACAGAAACTAGTTCCTTCCATACCGACCGGTGATTTTCCATAGCAACTATTGACTTTCCATAGCAACAAAAGACATCTTTAGTACCCAATGACTTTCCATTGCATCCAGAGACTTTCAATAGCAACCACCATTGACATCCATAGCAACCACTTACTTTCATAGCAATAGTGACTTTCTTAGCAACCATAGACTTTCCATAGCAACCTTAGACTTATTTAGCATCCACTGACTTACTTTATCAACCATTGAGGTTTCATATAAAACGTTTACTTTCCATAGCAACAGTATCTTTCCAAAGCAATTACTAATATTCAAAAGCAACCAGATGCTTCCATAGCAACCAGTAACCTCCTATAGCAACTATTAACTTTTCATAGCAACAAAAGTATATTTAGCACCCAATTACTTTCCATAGCATCCAGAGAGTTTTAATAGCATTCACCATTGACTTCCACAGCAACCACAAAATTCCAAAAAAGAAACCATAAACTTCCATAGCAACTGATGACTTTCTTCAGCAACGATTGACTTCCATAGCAATCATTGACTTTCGAAACCAACCATTAACTTTCCAAAAGAATCATTGACTTTCCAAAGCAACTGATGACTCCAATGGTAACCTTGAAACCAGCGACATCAAAGCGGTCATTTTCACTTTTCATAACAATCTGTAATTTTCCATAGCAACCAGTGACTTCCATAGCACACATTTACTTTCAATATCAACGAGTGAATCTACCATTGAATTTCATAGTATTCACTGACTTTCAATGTAAGCAGTGACTTTGTATAGTGACCAGTGACTTCTTAAGTAACTATTTTATCCTAAGCGATAGCAACCAGTAATGTTTTTTACACTTGCACTTATTCAAATACAAGTATGAACTTTGACAATGTTATATTAGTTTTAATCAGATTTATAGTTTACGACATTACTTGTCCCTTGTCATTATGATTATTGATATTCAGGTGAGCAATATTAGGACCATCATGGTCCTTTTGTACATGTGTATATGCTGTGCAATTTTTCTATAAAAAAAGATTCAATAGCGAGGAGTTTGTCTAAAGATCATCACCTATAGCAAAGAGACATTTGCATGATATGATTTGAGGTCATGACCTCTAAATGATTTTATGTAGCCAGAACTAGTAAACGCTTAAAAATATAATATACTTATTTTGAATCAATTACTATACTATGGCCTTTGTATCTTAACATTAGACACATCTGCACAACGTTTTTCAATTGAAATGCTGAATATGACCTTGACCACGAATTAACTAGACACTCCTGCAATATATCATAGTTCAATTGTATAGAAACAAGATAAATGCTACTCTATTCCTACAATTTATGGTTATATAAAGATTTGGTTGTCAAAGATTTTTTTCTCACAAATGCCATCTTTTGTTTAAAAAAAAAGCTGAGCATAAATAAAGCCCGATCCGAAACTCAATCTTACAACTGCTTGCACTACAGGAGAGCTTTTTAACTTTTTTATTTAAAATGCAGTGCAAATTTTCTGTATGTAGAACTGTAAAATAATATCAAATAAATCAATTGAATGGTTCTTTTCCTTAGATATGGAATCGCCTTTGTAAATAAACATGTTTGTTTTAATTTCACACTGTATCTGTCATTCAGGGAAAAGCGTACAGTGAGGACATTCTAGATACATTTGTCTGGCTCTAATGTTCTATTCTAAAACATAAATTGGAAAATGGGTAACAAATAGGAATGCTTAATAAAAATACATTTTGGCTGTGTATATCAATTTCCTTTTTGTTATTTTACAGGATGTTTCCAGCACCTCACTACAGGGAACGACGGTCAATGATGTTATCCGAGGTTTTAGATGACCTTGGTGTCAATGATCAAATGGTGATGAGAGAGAGAAAATTAATGAAGATGCTGGAGACTGTGAGTACTATCACAATGAGGTTAACTGGTACAAATATAACTTCATACTTTATGGGTAGTCAAAGTGAATGTACAAGAATTTCAAGTTCAGATGCAGATATTTTACTTTGTGTGAATACTGTCAATATTATACAAGACTTGTCAGAGTGGGAACATGGCAAGGACAACTATCTCATGATTCAGGATGAAAACACCACCCCTGGATACTGTTTCCTACAACTGTTTCGATCTAATGAACCTATGCCTGCAACTGATATTCCTAATAACCTCCATATATCGGAAAGAAGAGGAATATTGTGTAAAAACACAATTAAATTGCTGGATTCTAGTTTTGAGCAGCATGGACCATCCATTACTTCACAAGGACGACATGGATTTTGTGATAAAGACTTGGTGCTTGCTTTGCCCTGTAAATCATGGCCACAATCAGCATCAGGTTGGTTAGAGAGACAAGGTGTAGGAAGATGGCCAACACATGAGATGAGAAGATTGGCAGCCAGAACAAGGTGCTTTGTTGTTCCAACTGGAAGTAAAGTCAGTGTTTATCCTGAACTGGAATGGAGATTATCTACATCTCTGACAGAGAGATATCTTATGTTTAGTTTAAATATAACACAAATAAGATGTTATGTGTTACTGAAAATGATTCTTAAATCATTCCTTAATCCTCAGGGGGAGATAAATATATCAAGTTATATGATTAAAACAGTTTTATTCCATTGTATAGAGAACACAGAACCAAGTATATGGATAGATAACAATTTATTGACATGTTTAATATTCTGCTTACAGGAATTACATAGCTGTGTACAAAATGAACATTGTTCACATTTCATAATATCTGAAATCAACTTGATGACAGGGCAATTTACTTCCGAGACAGTCCATGAACTTTCAGAAAATATAAGTGTCTTTATTCAGAATGATTTCGATTTTTTAATTACACTTGGTACTAATGACCTTGGATATAGACTTCTAGTTAAACTGAACAAGGTACCACAGAAAGTGTACGGTCCTCCATTTTCTCTTGCAATTCCTGTTACAAGATACTTAAGCTTTGCTTTACCAATAAGTTATCTTAACTTTCTTTTCTTAAAAAGGGTACAAAATGAAAACATGGAAAAAATGAACCAAATTGTAACAATATTAGTTTTCCTAATGACCTATGACATTAATAATGGTGAAACACTTACACACACTGGACTAAAATTTCTAGCACCTTTCACCTTCACCACATATGGATCTACCCTAGCATCATTCAATTTCGGTGCAAAGAATCAAGCATTGCGTAAAGCAATGAATTGGCTATCGGCTGGTTTAAACTCAGATGTTTCATCTGGCCGCTTGAAACTGGCATCAGTGTTTTACAGTAGAGAAGAGATGGAGAAAGCTGAAGAGATTCTGAGACAAACTGAACAAAAATATCTCTCTCATTATGTTGTACCTATCTGTAGCTGCGCAGTGAGGTCTGAACCAACAATATCTGAAGAAATTGCAAGGTATTGTTATGAACACAGTGAAGACAGTATCAAAGATATTACAGCATTTTGTGTCCGTTTTATACGGCAGGAGATCAACTGTGTTCCTCATGAACTACAATATGAAATGTTCCGATCTACACAAGATGACATGATACACAGAGGTCAATATGACTGTTGGATGGACTGGGCTGTAATTGATTCTCTTCCTTTCTTATACTTTCTACAATATAAGCTCTATGGTCATCTTCAAAGACAACAAGAAAAACAACAAGCTTTCGATAATCTTATAAGAACCATAGAAACTAACAAAAAGCTTACACATAGAGAAACAGCTCTCAATGTTTTAGGGCAAATTATGGAACAAGAAAATAGACCACATGAAGCTTTACATTGCTATATTCATTCTCTGCAAGAAAGGGCAAGAAACAATGTTGCAAAAATACATATATGCCGGCTTCTCTGCAAGTGTAATATGGTTTTAAGATTCTTGAATGTGTGTAAGTTCAATACTAAATTTACTGCATAATAGGTGAATAAAATGATATTATGCGAGCCTTTCATCAGTAATGAACACGAATTTAATATTCTATTCATCACATACCCAAAATAAAAACTGATTAAAGTGAAATAAGAGTCATTTTTCATTGACGCGCCTATAGTATAACACTAACGTTTAGCGCGTCTTTACACTATGTTTGTAAAACGCTAATGCCGTCACGTCAAAATATATGCACGGTCGTGCAATACCATACATGTATTTACGGAGTCGCAAAATCGGCACGGGTGTGTGATAAAATACAATATTAATATAATTTAAAAATTCAACCCTAAGATACACAAAAGTGGAACCTGAATATCACATGCCTAACCTGAATATCATATGCTTTTGTCAAAATGTTACTATTTTTAGAACGAAATAATGGACATTTGCCAAGGTATATTGGATCTTTACCAAAATATAAGTATTACCTCAAGGTCAATCTTTGAGAATTGAATAAAAGTTGTAAAATTACTTTCTGTCAATATTTCTTTAACAGTTTTAAGAACTTATTTTCTTCTGGGTTGTACAGATTGCATGCTGTAATCTACTGTGTTCCGTTTGGACATGTTTGGACAATCGTGACATTTTATTTATTCTGTACCCGCGATGCACGATGGTACGATGGTGAAAACGCGATGGCACGATGGTACGATGGTGAAAACACGATGGTACGATGGTGAAATCACGATGGTACGATGGTGAAATCGCGATGGCGCGATAGTACGATGGTGAAAACGGGATGTTACATCGCGTTTTCACCATCGTACCATCGTAATTTCACCATCGTACCATCGCGTTTTCACCATCGTACCATCGCACCATCGCACTATCGTGTTTTCACCATCGTGCCATTGCGCTTTCACCATCGTACCATCGCGATTTCACCATCGTACCATCGCGATTTCACCATCGTACCATCGCGTTTTCACCATCGTGCCATCGCCTTCTGGTGGACATGCGCATTGTACATCTTTATCAACAATGGATGAATGCATAACTATGTATTATGTGAGAGGCTATACGTATCGAGACATTTTAAATATAGTGAGGCTTAAAACGGGATTTGATCTCGGCACAGAATATTTAATAAGTGTTGTGTATTAAGATTCAATCATTATAAAACCTTTATGCACTGTGCTTAATTCATCTTGTCTAGATATCTATAACACAATTTTTTAAAGGTTTTATATCATAAATATGATGCTCAAATTAAGATAAGTTCCAAAAAAACATTATTTGTAAAGATGTTACCGAATTTAACATTTCATGTAAATAAAGGGAGGTAATAAAAATTTATTTTCTGTAATATTTAAGTCAAATTTTTCAATAAGAAATGAATGCATATATTTTAATGATTACATATAATATACATAAATATTTGCAGTACATATTTTACATGTTCTCGATGTTTGAAACTTGTTTTATATTAAAGCATTATTATATAAATATATATAATTTCACTGAAGTGTGGTGTTAGCTCAACAGGTACAGCGTTGGACTGTGAATCGGGCGATCGGGTTGGATTCCCCCGACGGGTGCAGGTCACTTTCGTTGTGATTGATCATGAAATCCTTTCTACGGTCATTGACACTGGTCTCTGCTCTGCAGAAGTTTCAGTTCCTTGCGAAAGTGAAGGCAACTAGTACTGGTAAACTGCTTGTCAGCCTGCCCAGGAAAATGCGGTGGTTGAACTGTGCTCTTGTGAATTCAATGTGGCTTACTGTCATGATCGGAAGTGAAAACTATCACCACAACCACCACGGTGTACAACCTCAATTACAACATACAAAATCTTTAGAACGGTACAAAATTGTCTTTTGGTATAGCTGTCATGTGTTTTTTTTTTTTTTCAATTATTCTTGCTTGGATATGGAAGAATGAAAAATCACAATACGTTCAGGTATTAGAAAGTAAATTATAAAACAAAATGAAAATAAAAGGAAAATTAAAGAAAATACTGAGCCAGGAAATGATGCATCAAGAGCTCATACATATAGATAAGAAAATTCTATTTCCCGAGACTATTAGAATGTGTATGCCTTAAAGTGAGAAATGTTTGCCCTTGACCTGGTCCGATTGGGAATTTAAAGCCAAAGAATATTATATTACTATGGAAGATTAATTATTACTGCAAAAATTGTAAATTCGGCGCTATAATCCGAGCATAGGTTCCAGTGCCAGACCTGGGGATTGATCAGTAATTTACTTAATTACAATTACTTTCAGATTTTATTATATAGATTATGATTGAATTCTCAGATTTGCCTCTGTAATCAATTAAATAACATAACAGAACAGAAGAAAACGTTATTTTACTTTGATTTGTACATAAATGTAGTACATTATCAGAAAAGTACAGAACATTAACTCAAGTTACATATAATATAACACATGAGTATACATAACAGTGGTGAATATTTGTTAATTTTAACACATGACATGATATTATTTTTAAGGTATTTGTAAGAGGAAAATAAATAATTATCATGAGAAATGAAAAAAGAAAAAAAAACAAACAAACAGCTACCGCCTAAAGATATTCATGATTTTCATGATACATTGATCAAAATGTTTAAACCATACATTTTCAATACTTATATTCAATTAATGATAACAAAGTTTAAAGTCAACGTCACGTTACATTTATACGGCTTCATCCGAGACCCACATAGGCCCTTGTTTGTCTTCTGCGTACATATTCAACGATCATGTCTTGTGGCAAATTAAAAAAAAATTTCGTGATATGAAAATAAAATGTATTTTAAGTACAGATATTGCGACATTTTGTTTTAGTTTTCGTCAACTGAAAGGACACTTAAAGAGATTAGGTTTGAAAAGAAGACAACCATTGGACTTCGGCCAGATTGAAGCAGCGATACAGGTACAGTATACATTCTTTCTTTATCTATTTAAAGGCTTAAGATGGCAGTAAGAGTCTTGTCGGATACACAAGTTACTGTAAACTATACTGTTTCTTGGGAATAAATTAATTTAATAAAGAATAACGTGAATATTTTACAAGAAGACTGTATCCTGTAAAACTTTGAATAAAATAAACATCGACATTTCTTTGAGTTCTTCTTTTTTCGTTAAAGTGGTGTTAATTGCTATTTTGAATGCACAAATTAAAAACAACGGCAAAAATCCTTACTGTAATCCATAAGCAGTCTGGTTAAGCTTATAGAATTATCAAATATCGGTCCTTTATCCTGCTCTCATATTTTTGTGTATGTGTGTTTACTTTTGATTGAGTAGCTTGAAGGAGAAATATAACGGTGTTTTTGTTTTTGGTTTTATATATTTTTTGCATAGCAGACTGGCGTTTTCGTTAGTTGTACCCATGCTGGAAATTTCATCTGGCATGGAGGATGCCAGATAAGTCGCCTGTCATACAACAACATCATTTTAGCGCATATTATACAGTCGGGCATACTTCTTGATCGGGAAACAAGGGGATTCCCCTTTAAGGCTTCCCGATCAGGCAACAAACGTCAAAATCCTTCCCGATCGGGAAGTTTATTGGCCTTTTTTTACGTAGTTCAGGAAAAATGGCCGGTGCAGAATAGTTTTCAACCCACTTTAATATGAATATCACATTTAAGTGCAGAAAAGATACATTTAAAATCCTACCGAGTCATTTTCTTTTAAAATGTCTTAAATTGAAATAATCTGAAAGTGAATTTGAGTGAAGTTTTACGATTTTACTGAGAAGTAGCTGCTTCCCGTTTTGGAAACACTGTTTCCTGATCAGGCATCTAGCATAATATTCACCATTAAATGTTTCCCGTTTGGGAAGTTTTAGTCTTTAAGTTAGCACGTTCTATTCTGGAATTCTTTCGTGCTGATTGAGATTGCTTAAGACAACACCAACAAATAAAGTTGTATGTGCAACAAATCAACATGTGAGTCATGGTGTGAATGTTTTGAAGTCTGGTGTGTCTAGCAGTTCAGATACAAATGATAGCATCATAGGTGGGGTCTTTTCAATTTTTTTAAAAACGAATAATCGACTTTCTTGTTCATACCCGGTCCTAGATATTTCTAATATGCCCCACTTCGAAGAAGAGCGGGTATATTGACTTGCTTATGTCCACACAATATCTGAATGACAAAAAATTGTATACAATTTTATGTTGAATAAAATATATGTTATGTTACGTTAATGCTGGTCCGTCAGTCCATCGGTAGACCTCAGTTATTATCTTAAAAACTTTTTAACACAGAGTCTTCATAGTTTACATACTAATTGGTCATAACTATAGTAGATGACACCTATTGATTTCAGGGTCACTATGTCAAAGGTCAAGGTCACAGGGGACCCTAAATGTCAGAATGGTTTCCGCTCATTATCTTGAAAACTATTTCTCACAAAGTCTTCAATATTTCCAAATTAATTAGTCATATGTAGTAGATGACTCCTATGATTTTTGTGGTCACTACTTCAAAGGTCAAGGTCACAGGGACCTTAAATGTCAGAATGGTTTAAGCTCATTATCTTGAAAACTATCTATCACTTAGTCATTATTATTTTCACATATTGATTGGTCGTAAACTAGTGGATGACCCTACCGATTTTGGGGTCTTTAGGTCAATGGTCAAGGTAACAGTGACCTTAAGTATGTTTGTTAATCCATCGTTAGACCACATTGTTTCTGCTGATTATCTTAAAACTATTTATCAAAAAGTCTTCATATTTCATATATTGATTGGTCATAACTTTTAGATAACCTATATTGATTTTTGGGGTAACTAGCTTAAAAGTCAAAGTTACAGGTGTTTTAAATTTCGGAATGGTTTCCGCTCATTATCTTTTTTAACTGGTATTTAACATTATTTTTTATTAGAAGTCTTCATATTTCATATATTGATTTGTCATAACTTAGAAGATGACCCATTTTGATTTTGGAGTCACTAGGTCAAAGGTCAAGGTCACGTTGCTTGAATGTCAAAATGGTTTCCGCACTATATCTTGAAAAGTATTTATCACAAAGATTTTCATGTGTTGATTAGTGATATGTGGTAGATGACCCTTATTGATTTAGGGGTCACCATTTTAAAGGTTACAGGGTCCTTAAATGTCAGAATGGTTTCCGTTTATTAGATTGAAAACTATTTATGACTAAATCTTTTATATTTCACTTTATGATTGGTTATAATTAGTAGATGACCCCTATCGTCAAAGGTCACAGGGCGTTAAATGACAGAATGGTTTCTACGCATTATCTTCAAGTTATCGAGTTTTTATGTTTCACATTTTAATTGTTCATAACTAGTAGATGGCCCTTATTGATTTTAAGGTCACTAGGTCAGAGGACAAGGTCACAATAACCTTGAATGTTCAAAGTAGATGCTCATAGTTACATTTATATGATAATATATATTTTATTCCAGCTACTCTCCATTTTGTTTAACTTATTTATGATAGATTTCATTCAATTTCAGCTAGAAAGGGGGCATATATGTCATTATGATATTTCTTGTTTTATTTGTTTATTTATCTTATATCTTATTCATTTTTTTTTAATTAAAGTGGCTTAAAGGGTATGTTCTATATCTTATGAAATATTTTAATAAAATTTATCCACAGCAAAATTATGCTGGTTCCATTATTATATGGTTGATTCCCGAAAAAAGAAATGTAACATAGAATGTCTCTGTTATTTAATACACACGAATCCTGTACAGGAACACAATATTGTTTTGCTATTTAAGTAGGGTTTTATCCGTTTAGCAATGATTTTGTGCTTGCGCCATTCGCGTTTTAGGCAATAGATTGCCATATTTATTTCATACAATCAATTAGGAAGAATACTTTTTTAAAATTCAAACAATAATTTTTGCAACAGATATATAGCTGTATAAATTTTAAGTTTCAGAAAACAGAAATATGACACAGTCACTACAAACACATGTAGTATGCAAACACGTCTTGAGCTATAGCCAAAAAAATAATATTTTATTGAGCTCTAGTCAACATTTAATTTAACTTTATTATTTGAGCTGCATGGTAATTGTTTTGAGAAATTACTCTCTGTGCAATTTTGTTCGACATATGCTATACAATCTTAGCAATATGAATTTTTTGTATTATAATGGTGAATTTTGAACTCTCCGTCAAGTATAGCTAATGTTTTGATAGGTATTATAACGCCTAACAAGGACATAAGCTTCGCCAGATATATTCCACTCGTTGTGATTGAATTATTGCCACATGTCTTTAAAAACTGACCAGGCTTAGCAATTTCTAATCATCAAGGCCAGGTACTACTACAAATATAAAGTACTTCCAGATTGGGAAGCAGTGTATCTTAAACTTTTAATGATGAATATTTTGCTAGATGTCTGATCAGAAAGCAACGTTCCCAAAACGGGAAGTGGCTAGTTTTTGGTAAAATCTAAAAACTTAACTTAAGTTCACTTCCAGATTATTTTAATTGTAGACATTTTAAAAGAAAATGACTCGGTAGGATTTTAGATGTATCTTTTCTGAACTAAAGTGTGATATTCATATTGAAGTGGATTGAAAACTGTTATGCACCGGCCATTTTTCTTGAACTACGTAAAAAAGGCCAAAAAAACTTCCCGATCGGGAAGGATTTTGACGTTAAACTTTGTTGCCTGATCGGGAAGCCTTGAAGGGGATTCCCCTTGTTTCCCAATCAGGAAGTATGCCCGACTGTTATAAGTACCGAGCTAAAATTACGTCATTTCGAATTTTAGAAGGGAACTATGTGCTTAGCATGATGTTAATAAAGTTGTAAATTCATACGCTATTGTAAGAAAATAGTTATGGGTGGAATGATATTAATTTCCATGAACAAATATCTTATCTTATATATGATATCTGTCATGTGTTGTTGCGGTTCAGATTGGAATATCCGTCCCGAAGGGACACCGCTCATTGGGAAGTAATAAGGCTTGCCGAATTACCGCCTATGGGCAGGTTCCCGAGGGACGGATATTTCAATCCGAACCGCAAACATATCTCAGATATTTTTTTTCTTGCATATTCTGCCATATTATTTCATATTTAAAATGGTTTACCTCAATAAGATATTTGTCTATAAAAATGGGGGTTACTTTTTCCCCACCCCTTTACAAAATATCAAAAATACAAATTATTAAATGCCATACTTTGAGTTACGTGTGTGAAAAGATGGTTATGTTGTATAATATAATATATGTCTTTAACTTTCTCATTAATGGGTGGGCTTATCCGGAGGTACGAACAAACTTTTACAGTTACAGCTTCAAAAATAAGCCCTACAGGTTGACAAATATATTGTGAACGGTTGTGCACCGTGAATCTTTAACGATAATAGTTTGTTTGTACCATGGGATAAGCTTGGATAAAACTCAGTTCTGCCAAAATTCAGATACCATCCATTAGTTTCGAGGAATTATAAAAAAATGAAAACGTTTCATTGTAGAATGAAATATTCGACAGCACATAAATGCACAATAGTAGCATGTAATTTAGGTACCGAATGCAAGTAATTAGCATTGCTAGAAGTCATAGACTTTACAAACTTTAACAACCGTACGAAAATTCCAGCCGTAAAGTAGCAGGAAAAGACAGGGAACCACTTTTCCAGGCAATAAACACATGTATCTTTTTAAGAGCAGGGAATTGAGAAAAGTATGGGCATAAGAACAAAGTTATAGCCACAAAAAGCACAAATAAGAATGATAACAAGTAAAAATTTGACATTTAACCTTGAGGATCTAGGTCATTTATGGATAAAGGTCAAGGTTAGTCTGGTTTGGTGTGGTAGAGGAACACAATTTGATGATAGTGCAAACGGTTAAATAAACAGGTAAAGCGTTGAAATAAAAAAGGGGGATCCGGTTTCGATTCCTGGATGGTGCAGGTCACTTTCATTATGATTGTTCATGAAACACAGGAAAGGTCATTATGATTGATGAAGAAGTCACATTGGGACTTTCTAGTTTAACTTGTGGAGGAAGTTTTTTGTGACAGAAATAAATATAAATTTTGACTTTACATAAATGTTAGTGCTATCAAACAGTCTGTCTTTAATCAAACTAAGATTAAATCATTATCCTGATGAAGGTGTCGTTCACCGTAACGCGCCGATAACGAAGTAATAATACTGTTATATTTTGAAAAAATTGTACGTGTTGTTGTTTAAACGTCGTTTTACATAAATTTAAAAAATAATAATGAAATAATTTAAGTTTAGTTTCTATAACATTAAGTGTCGGCAACAACTTGTGTCTAATTTGATGTAAATGTACAGACTGTACAAACTTTTCATGAACATGTTGAAATTAATAATGACTATTCATTTAAGTGAAACTACAATGACAAAATAAATAAGTGTTTTTCACATCTTATATTAAACTTTTAAATGTAAATGTTTGAAACTAACAGCAAAATGTTTTATCACATTAGAAAAGAGACTCAGATACAAACATATTCAAAGAGAAGGGAGATAATTCTATAACATTATAAACAAAGGAAGAGAGTGAGTTAATCCCCTTTACAGGTTCATTCGAAACCAAAAGAGGAAGTAAAAAAGTAATATTTCCAACTATCCTTCAAACAGAAACAAACACATTTTATTTCAAAACAATTGTATGGCATAATTTTGAGTCCAACACTCAATGTAAGTTCAAGTTTTATTATATAAACACAATTTTACATCTATCATTCTTTCTAGTGCATGAATTATATATATAAAATGTATTGCATGTGGTGTGACATGTAAATCTAAATGCTCGAGCTAGAGTCAACAAACTTAAAAGGAATGTTGATTAACATGTGAAGTTGAGCAACTGGTGTTTCGCATGTGGATTAATTCGGTGTTGTAAGAGTTATGCCCTTGACTAAGTGACAATTTGCTATTTTCAATGTGTGTCGTGGCTAGCCCATAAGGTATTTGATCTGGAGTCATGAAACTTTACAGAAATCTTGGATTGTATTTGTAGTTGAGCACCGGGACGTTTGCTTTTGCGCTTATCCAATATTCGTAGAGTTATTGCCCTTGACTTAAAAATATTTGCCATTGAGTCATGAAACTTTACAGAAATATTGGTCAGAATGTGTAGTTTGCCCCTGGATGGATTTCTTTAGTATTTGTTGAGTTATTGCCCTTGACTTAGTGAAAATTTGCAATTTCAACTTGTGCTGCATGTAGCCAACAAAATATTTGACCTAGTCATTAAACTTTACAGAAGTTTTAGCATGTGTAGTTGTGCAATTGGGGCTTTGATCGTATATGTATTTAAAATTTGTTAAGTAATTGCCCTAGATTGGTGAAAAACATTCCAAAATGATGTGTCATGTGTACCTCTAAAAGTGCTTGAGCTAGAGTCACCAGATTTTACAGAGATGTTGATTGTAAGTGAAGTTGTGCACAACGAGTTTTACGTGTGGATTAATTAGAGATATTGCCCTTGACTATGTATAAATTCGCAAATTTCAATATGCTGTACATAGCTCAAAAAGTGTTTGACCCGGATTCATATCTTTACAGGACTGTTGGTCAGCTGTTGGTCAGGATGAATAGTTATGACCTTGGGTTTACTTGTGTATTTATTCAGTATTTGGGGTTAAAATTTTCTACTTGGTCACGCGACGTTCATTTTTTAAAGTCATAATTTTTTTTTTCATAAAATTTATTTTTGTCAATTCTTATGATGTTTAGATGATGTTTAAGGGTTTTGGGTTGTAGAGGGGGAACGGGGGTATAGTTTAAGTCATCGCCACGCGACTTTCACCTGTGTTCAAGACCTGCTCACCCATGAAAACAGGTGGGAGTATGTAACAAAAAAAACCCAAAAAAGTTATGAACAACTCAAAGATCCTGTATGTTGTACTTGAGGTTGTATACCACTCTTAAGTGAAAAACAATTACATGTATATATATTTATATATAATCATGCTTATAAAACAATTTTCAAACATCGAAAAATATGTAAAATATGTCCTGCAAATATTTGTACATATTATATGTAATCATTAAAATAAATGGATTAATTTCTAATTGAAAAAATTGACTTAGACTTGATAGAAAACAAATTTTTATTACCTCCCTTTATTTACATGAAATGTTGAATTCGGTAATATCTTTTTTGGAACTTACAAAAATTGATAAATCTTAATTTGAGCATCATATTTTACGATATAAAACAATAAAAGAATGTGTTACAGGATCTTTAATCAGTTTACATTTTACTTCCAGAATGGATAGAGAAAGCCTATCATTGAAGTAATCAGAGGTCTTAGATGACATTGGTGTCAATGAAGAAATGGTGAAAAAAGGTAGAAGAGTAAGAATGCTGACAGAGACTATAGTTAGTATCACAGCTAAATCAACAAGTAAAAAAATGCAACTATTTATCATCTAGGGAGTCAGAGTGAAGGAACAACTACTGAAGGACTTAAATTAGACCTTTACGTACTATTCAGTATCCCAATTGTCAATGTATTGGAATATTTGTTAGAGTGGGAACATGGCAAGACAAACTACCTCATGATACAAGATGAGAACACTACATCCGGATATTGTTTCTTACAACTGCTCAGATCTGATAAACCACTTCCTGAATCTGTAATTCCTAATGAATACCATGTAACTGATGGACAAGGAAGAATATTGTGTAAAAACACAATGATACAAGCATTACTTCAGGGTAGTTCCCAGCATGGACCATCACTTGTATAGGAATCAAGACATGGATTACGTGATAGAGACATGGTTTCAGCTTTTGTCTGTAAATCATGGCCTCAATCAGCATCAGGTTGGTTAGAGAGGGAGGGTAAAGGGGGGTGGCCAATACAAGAGATGAGAACATATGCATCCAGGACTGGGTGTTTTGTTGTTCCAACTGGGTAAGGTCAGTAAATATCCTGAACTGGAATGGAGAATATCTACATCCCTAGCAGAAAGGTGTCTAATGTTTGATTTAAATATAACACAAATAAGATGCTATGTTTTAATGAAAATGATTCTTAAATCCTTTCTAAATCGTCATGGGGAAAAAATATATCAAGTTTCATGTGTAAAACAGTTCTATTACACTGTATTGAAAATACAGAACCAAGTATATGGCAAAAGAACAGTTTATTAACATGTTTAACTAACTGCCTACTAAAATTACACAGTTGTGTTCAGAACGACCATTTGTCACATTTCATTATACAGGAAAACAATTTGATGGCAGGACAATTTACAGCTGGGTTAAAACATGAACTTTCAGAAAAAATAATTGATTTTGTACAGAGTTATGGACAAAGGATATTTAGAATTGATATTGATGACCTTGGACATAGATTACAAGTTAAACTAAATAAGGTACCACAAAGAGCATACAATTTTAATTCTTGCCGACTTCTTTCAGCCTCATACTACCTGAACCTCGCACTCCAAAGCAGTTCAAGTCACAGATCTTTTTTAAATGAATTACATAACAAAGATATTAGAACATTGGAGCAATCTGTTAAGACACTAATGGAATTCAGTAAAAATGGAAATAAACTTGAGCAAGATTCATTTCAGTTTTTGGCCCCTTTTATCTTAACCACATATGGAACTGCCCTGGCATCATCAAGTATTGGTGAAAATAACCAAGTGTCATCTGAAACAATGGATTTGCTATCAGATGGTTCTGACTCAGATGTCTCATCTAGCAGATTGAAACTGGCTTCTGTGTTGTACTGTACAGGAGATATGGAGAAAGCTGAACGAATTCTGGGACAAACTGAACAACAGTTTTACTCTCATCCGGTTACACCTGTCTGTGGCTGCCCACCAAGGCCTCCACAAGAATTACCTACCGAGTTTATGAGAATATGCACTGAACAAAGTGAGGACTGTATCAAACATATTACAGCATTTTGTGTCAGATTCACACAGCTGGAGATCAACTGTGCTCCTCATGAAATACAATATGAAATGTTCAGATCTACACAAGATGACATGATACACAGAGATCAGCATGACTTATGGATGAACTGGGCTGTAGTTGATTCTCTACCTTTCCTGTACTTCCTACAATATAAGATCTATGGCCATCTACAAAGACATTTAGATCGGCAAAAAGCACTCAATAGACTTTTCATTAGCATAGAGGTAGATAAAAATCTAAAACATAGAGAAACAGCTCTCAATATTTTAGGGCAAATTATGGAACAAGAAAACAGACCACAGGATGCTTTAGAATATTACATACGTTCTCTGCAACAAAGAGCAAGAAACAATGCAGCAAACATTCATATCTGCCTGCTTCTCTCCCGTTTATTTCTTGCCAAATAAATAAGACACAATACACATACTATAGTATGTTATAAGACTTAAAATCTGAAGAAATCATCTACAGCTTATCCATATCAAACTGATCCAAATGTAAAAATATTTGCCTTTCGTCCTTCTTTTTCTTAAAAAATAAATTGAGAGAATGAATCCAAGTGGGACATAGCTTTAAGCTTCCATTTTATATTTTTGGAGTAAAGAGCTTCTTAAAAAAAAGGCATTGCTCATCAAAAATAAATACTAAATTGTGGTTTGCAAGATGAAAGAGTTTTTTGTACATGAATCTCATTCCATAGATTACTTATAAAAACAAAAGAATAAAGCAGACAATCATCAGTAAGGTTTATATTAAATATTTCATGGAAATGTCATTGAAAGATACTTACTTAAAATATTGACTTTCTGAAGAGAGTGTATGTTACAGTTGAGGACATATCTACCTTAGTTACTAAAGAACATCTGTGTCAGGGAATTGATTCTTTGTCTCAGTGGTCTAGCACATTGTTACTTTTGTTGTAAGAAGGAGGTCATAGTTGGATTATGAAATAACTTGGCATAAATTACAGCTTATTAAGATATAGGCATTGGGGATTCCACAAGATCAAGTTCACTAGCCAAAAAGTCACTGACACTTGGCTGTCAAAAGTCATGATTTGATAGTACATTGGTTGGATTGTCTCGTCCATCATTATGTTTGTCTGTCATTGACAGATGTTTAAATTGTTTGTCGTCATTATATGCAACTTTAAAACAATATGTGATAAGAGGGAACAAGGGCCAATATACAACTTAGACTGAAAATGTAATATTTCACATAAGACATAAGTACGTTGATTGTTGTGTTTGGTCATCAATTCTGTCATTAATGGGTGGTTTTTATAATACATGTTGATGTTGTAACTATATTTGTCATTTATTCATGGATGCCTTTTTTCATATTTTGGCATATTGAGATGAATGTGTTTGTTAATGTTTTCTTACACTTGTAACAATGCATTTATATTACTTCATTGTATATTGGAGCCCATTTTTCTGTTTCAAACACAAATGTTTGTTCTGTTGTTTTATTATTTGTTCTATCAAAACCTGTCATTTTAAAGTTTTAATATATATATAAAAACATGTATATTGTTCACAAACATTTTCTATACAACAAATTTAAGTTCTTGGTCACAACTGCAATTCCTATATTGTTGATTCTAATTTTTTACAGGTCAGAAAATTAAACAACTTATATTGTGACTATATATGTTATCAATTTTATTATTCAATAAACATAGACTGTGAAATAAGCCTTTTTTCTATTGAACATGTTTAAGCAATGGTATTTAGCAAGATATACAAGTTGTTAAAATGGTAAGAGACCCAATAAAAAAAAGAAAAAAAAGGAGTACTGTAAAATGTTTCTCCTTTCATTATAAGACGACATTGATATTGTTTTAAAGTTTTTTTTACTATTATGTTCATACTTATGGTAAAATTAGAAATGACCTTCGAGGTTGGAAAATACAGCCATCCTTCAAACTGCCCTGTATCATTAAAAAATACTTTAAATAGAATATGAGCTGCGTCACGACAAAACCAACATAGTGCGTTTACCACCAGCTGGGATCCAGATCAGCCTGCCCATCCGCCCAGTCTGATCAGGATCCATGCTATTCGCTTACCAACTCTATTACAAGTAAAAAAACTGATAGCGAACAGCATGGATCCTGATCAGACTGTGCGGATGCGCAGGCTGGTCTGGATCCATGCTGGTTGCAAACGCACTATGTTGGTTTTGTTGTGACGCGGCTTATATGTGAAATTGCTTTACATTCCAGTCTGTGATGTTTTGCTGCAAGATCCTTTATACTCCAGATAAAATTGAAAAATTGGACTGCATTTGGAAATGTACGAAAGATGTGAAACTCGGCCTTTGTCAATTGATTATTAGTTTTGAAGTGAATATACATAAATGAAAATCTAACTAAAAAGGTTATAATAATACTTCCATTTTTTGGACCCCAAGTATGGGGGGATTTAAATTTACCCTTGTAATGTAATTCTCATGTTGTGTTGCATGTAACTCTAAAAGTGTTTGACCTAGGGTCATGAAACTTCACAGGAATGTTAGTCAGCATGTGTAGTTGTGCACATGGGTATTTGCATGTGGATTTATTCAGTATATGTAAAACAAAATGGCATCGCACCAACACTGTACAGGTCATATGACGACTTTCCATATAATATTTCAGGCACAAGTGGGCACCTCACAAAAAACACTGATGTTCTGTAAGCTAGCTGGATAGCTTTCCTGAAATGAAAGAATCAAAAAGTCTCTGGCAGAATTCAATCTTACATAGGTGAGAGTCAAGTGGTTTTAGGTAAACAACCTTAACCAGTCCTCCTATGTACGCCCCTCAAGAGTTTCACAACTCAAATAATACATGTACATTGCAGATTTTATGTTAAAAAGATTTTTATCATAATATTTCTACCCCATGACTAATGAAGCATGCTGCTAATTTTGCAAATCTTTCATTTTGGCCTAGTGTTACAGTAATAAGTGCCTTAAACTGACCTAAATCCCCCTTATTATCAGGCTTCACAAAAATTCTTCTACTAAGAACAAATCCTTACTTTTCCTAGAAATTGATAGATATTTTGAGGCACACTGCTTTAAGCAGTATACAATTCTTTTAAATATCAAAACAAACTCCTGGAAGACTTTTCACCATTATATATTTATTTTATTTAGCACCTATTGGGTAGTAATAAGTTTAACTATAGTGTCTATAATTTTACTGCCCCTTGGGCAGCTACACAGGTCCATGTGTGGAGTCTTAATTTTATCTTCCAACAAATGATCCAGTTCCAGTCTTAACTCTCTCACTAACTCAGCTATCTGAAAATATATGAGGAAATGTTGCGAAAGGTATATAAATACACTAGTCTTATATAAAATGACTTCATCATTTTGTACTAGTCTTTTGTAACAGAACACCTCATTTTCCCTTTGACAAATTAAAAGTCAGGAACTTATGACTTTTAGATCTGCCAGTCTCTATTAAAATCCAAAATGTTTGATGACAGAATCATATGAAAAAATACCTATCCTAACCTAGACAGACTGAGTCAAACAAACATTTCAATAACTTTATGCCAGGGTTATAAACATATCACCTAAATATTACTTAAAATTCTATTTTGCAATATACAATATAGAAATAAATAATGGCTAACTTGATTGTTAAAGAGATTTTGCCATAAACGTGAGGTATTTAACCATTATTACAGCTTACCTAATGATATTG